CCGCCCCTGAGCCTCTGGCCTGTACCCCAGTTCTGTATGCACAAATAAATAAATCTTTAAAAAATAAAAAAATTAAAAATAAATAAAAATAGGGGGACAAATTGTCTGAGTTCTTGCCCAGAAGGCAGTCATGCTTTACCAACCAGAGCTGCCCCAATCTCCAAGGACATCATTCAGCCATTAACAAGGAACCCGCCGAGCGCTGACCGCTGAGAGGGGCAGGTGAGCACTGCCCGTGGGCTCAGGCAGGCGTGAGAGCCACGTGGCAGATTGAAGAGGGGACGCTTACTATGAGCACTACTAGCTATAGTAAAGGGCAGCTATGAGATCTAAGGAAACGATGTGAACTCTAGGGCTGAAGCTGACACCCAAGGCAGGAACACTGGGAGGTAGGAAACTCCCTGGAGAAGTGTCGTTCAGGCTACTGGGTGGCAGGGGACAGGCTGGTCAGTTTCCTGGCAAGTAGCAGGCAACTAAGACCTGGCCACAGGACGCCAGAGACAAGATGCCTGGGGGCAGGGGCGGGTGCAGCGCTGGGACAGGACAGGTGGGGACCGGCAGGGACAGAAGGGACTCACACCTGTGGTGACTTCTTAGTGTGGCCCCCTGGTAGCCTCGCCGCCACGGGGGTCTTGCAGTGGGGCTCTTGCACCGACAAGAGACGGCATAGACAGGCCAGGGGGAGGTGTGCTGAGGTCTCTGGTCCCTGTGGGTTCGGGCACGGAAAGGCTTATGCAGGTGGAGCGTCCGCGGGCAGAGGGCGGTTCCTCTGGGCCCGACCTCTCTGAGTCTGTTTCTCATCTGTAAGCTGGAGCAAATTGCTGCACAGGACGGATGTATGGCACCTGGACCCTCATTCTAGTGTTGTCAGACCATGCCTGCCCATTACAGAGAGGCCGAGAGCCATCCAAGGCTCCGTAGCTTATGGGGCAGCTGCTGCAACGGGACCCAGATCCCTGAGGCCATGCAAGTGGGCTTCTTCCCGCCTGATCCCCCTCACCTACCCCCGCCTGCCTCCCTGCCAGTACTCGGGGTGGCCCTGGAGAGAAGTGGGGAGGGGCCGGTGGCCAGTGGTACACTGGGATGCATTTGCAGAGCGGAAGAGGTGGGGAGCAGGAGGGTGGTCAGCTGTGCCTCTGTCTGTCAGGGACGCACCCAAGGGGTAAAACAACACTATCTGTAGACAGGACCCCAGGTCAGGACAGAGATGGCTGGGCTCCTGCTCTTGCTGGCCCCAGGCCGGCTGCAGCCCTGCTGACCTCGGATGCATCCCATCCCCTTCGTGCCTGACGCACAGTCACTTCCTTAATCTTCCAGAACTGCGGCTCCCTGTGGGGTGGATGTGGAAGACCTCAATCCTTCAGTGACCTCCTGGGGCCCTTCATCACCCTCAAGGGGTCCCCGGCCAGACCCCTGAGAGCCTCCTGGAGAGAAGAGCAGAGTTGTGCACCTGGAGGCTGGGCTTAGTCCCACGGTGGGGCTCCTGGAGGGGTGTCCCTGAAGTCACCCTACCTTTGCTGTCCTCTGGACTTGGGCCTTGAGAGATCCCCTTCACCTGGAACTCATCACCTCGGCGTCTTCAGGAGGGTTTCTCTGAGGATACCCCACGGGGCCATTGTTCCCCATGTCCCCTGCGAGCATCTAAGGGGCACACATCTCTACCACCCACCCAACCTCTCCAGGCCTTTGCACTTCTGCCCCCCCTCCTTGCTGGTCCCTGCCCCTGCCAGGCAGGGTTGGCTTGACACTCTGACGCCAGTTCCAGCACCCTCTGCTCTGGTTTCCCTGAACCCCCTGCTCTGCCCCCCCCCCCGACTCAGTGGTTTCCATCGCCCTCATCTCCCAGGCATGGCCTGGCTTTGTGCTTGGTGACTTGTGAGTTTAGTTCCCTTTGGGCACTGAGAGACCCCTCAGTACAGGAACCCCAACTGCTTTGCTCACTGGGCGCCCCCAGCACCCTGCACAGGCGTGGCACCCAGTAGGTATGCAATAAACATTTGTTAAGGAACAGATGAACACCCACTCTGTGCCCAGCCTTTCGGGAAGCGCAGGGCTTAGGGGAGAGCAGCATGGGGACTGACGCCCTCTTGGGGATGGCACCCCCCTCTGGCATCTGCCCTTGTCCAGCCACCCGGCTCCCAGCCCCCTTGTCCTCTGCTATTTACGTTGGAACAGGCTGACGCGTCACGTGAGCGCTGGGGCTCCTGTTCTTCAGGCCTCTAGATAATTATCTGGACCTTATTAAGCCCTTAATTATCCAAGCAGCTAATCAGGCTCCTGAATATAAGGGCTTCCTCGTCCCAGGGTCGGGAGGCAGGGGTCAGTCACCAGCAGACGTCCTGGGCTCAGCACGGTAAGGACAACTCCCAACTGGGGAACTCTCGCCAGAGAGCATCTTACCCAGCCCTGTCATTTTATAGACCACTGAGGCCCAGAGAGAGGAAGGGACTCGCCTGAGGCCACACAGCAAGTGGACAGGCCAGGGCTTGAGTCTTTGTCCTGACCCCCACCCAGTGCTCCCTGCTGCACAGGAAGCCACTGGACATTGAAACTGTCAGAGTTGTATGATTTAGGTAAGGTCCAGCAGTCGGAGGGGTGTCCATGGGCTCTGTCTGAGGTTGGGAGGGGCAGGGAGGTGCTTAGAAATGAGCTGGGGTCACAGGGGGTGGGGGTCACCTAGGAGCATTTGCCAGGCAGAGAGAGGGGCCAGGGACTCCAGGTGGCGGGGACTGTGAGCGGGATGGGGGTGCGGCAGCAGGAAGCACTCATCTTGCAGTGGGATGATTTAGGGATGGTCAGATTCCAGCTGTGACCTGTGAGGTTGGAGGCAGTTGGGCATTCAGGGGAGACTTCCTGGTGGAGGAGGCGAGGGCTTCCATGAGTACAGGAGGGATGAGCGTTCTAAGAGAGGAGGGCAGCTTAGTTAATGCACAAGTCCAGTTTGTCCCACAACCCTCCGCGCCAACCTCTTACCCCAAGCGACTTATTTTTCTAAGAGGAAAAAAATATCTCTGGACTCTGTCTCTCCAGTTGGGAGCAGGCTGTAGGAGACCCTCACCAGGCCCCTTCCAGCTCCGCTGTCCTGGCACTGACCCTCAGAACTGAGGCAGTGGGGGGTGGGGGTGGCGGGGATGTGTGTTTATAGAGTTGAGGAAACATTAAGATTGATTTTTTCAAGCCCAGGCAGATGCTTTAATATCACGTTTCCATGATATTGACTATAGGGTCAAACGGTCTCACATGCTTTTTATTTTTATTTATTTATTTACTTATTTTCAAGAGCTGGGGTATAGACCAGAGGTGCAGGGTGGGGGGTGGTGGTGGTGCGAGAGGACTCACCAGAGACAGAGTGGGGAGCAGAACAAGCAGATTGATTGAAATGCACTGCTGGGGGGAGCAGCAGGCAAGACAGGACGGGTCTGCTGCACCATGTGGGTCAATCCCTGGCCAGGAATCGAACTCAGGCTGCAGTGGCTGCAGCTAGCTTCATAGAGCTGAGACTTAACCGCCTGAGCCAGCAGGGGGCCCTCTCCCAGGCCTTTTATACACTGGCACCTTCTCATCCTCTAGGGCTCAGGGAGCTTCGCCTCCCACCTCCCATAGCCCCCGCCCCCAATATCCCATTCTATTGCTTCTCTTTGAGATTCAGGAGGCGCTTGGCTCTCTCTGACTTGTGCGCCCTGTAGCCAGCCCACCGGTGCACAGTAGGTGTAGGCACGGGCGTGGCCTTGACCAGCAGCCCGCACTAGGTGGCTGTCTCTGTGGCCGGGGGAGTCCTCAGGACGGGGCAGCCCGCAGGAGTGTCGCCACACGTCCCCTCCTCTGTGACATCAGACGCCTCTCCCCTGATTCTTTTCAGTTGCAGCTTAAACTTGAAATAGCCACTTGGCCTCTGGTCGGGAGAATCTCAGGTCCAGTAAGTAAGGAAGGGGGGTCTGGGGGCCCGCAGTGGGATGGTGCTTCCCCGGAACCCTGAGGGGCTGGGGTGAGAGGCCCCTATTCTGTCCTCTGCCCTCTGGCCGTGAGGCCGCAGGCGGGCGCTCCAGCCTCCCTGTGGGTGAGGCGACATCTCAAGGGGCCTTAAAGTGATTGTGAGCTGAGATTTCAGATGGGAGTGAGGCTGAGCTGGGGGAGGTGGGGTGCCTTTAGCAGTAGTGTCAAGGGGTACAGCAGAGGTCCCCCACCCCCACACTGCAGCGGAAGCACCCTGAGTCAGGAGCGGCTCGGAATCCCCTCTGCAGCCCCAGCATGGCCTGGCACTGAGCCCCACTTGAACCCCCGCAGCCTGCAGCCGCACCACCCACCATAGTCCAGGCTGAGTGAACACACCGTGCTGAGTGTTAGCAAGGGCGCGGCCCGCCGGGGACGTGACCTCAGGGCCTTGTGTTCAGTCTGGATGTTCCTTGACTCCCGGGGAGGCAGGAGTGGGGCTTGCTGAGCTAGCCGGAGTGCAGAGGCTGCTGCCCCCCGAGATCCTCTGGGTGGGGGCATCTCCCCTGGAGTGTGGGAGGGGAACAGGGGCCTGTGGGCTGCACCCAACCCAGCCCCTGGGCCAGGTGGAGCCATGCTGGGGATCCTGGGTCTGGCACTGTGCGGCCTGTGGACTGGCACGCGAGCGGACTCCGGGGCACTGCTGCGGCTGGGCATGGACGTCATGAACCGCGGTGAGCTGGAGGCGGGGCCGGCGTGGGGCCAGGGTGGAGGGTGCACGGCGGGTAGGTGATAGGTGGTGACTGCTCGTGTTGGCCTTGAACACTGTTACTCTCAAAATAAACTTAAGGACAAAATGCTATTTTATCTTCCATTTTACAGAGGGAGGAAACTGAGGCCTAGACAGAATGGGGCTGTTTGCTAAGGTCCCCTCCTAAGTTGGAGGCAAAGCTGGGAATTCTGCTCCCTCGGAGCGCCTCCTGCACAGCAGGCTGGAGGCCACGGGTGGGCGGTGGGGGTCACAGACAGAAAAGAAGCCCCAGCTCTGCCAACAATTTGCTGTGTGACCTCAGGCAAGTCAATGAACTTCTCTGTGTTGTCGTTTGCTCATCTGTGATTAAAAAACATAAAACATGTCAGATAGGGTGAATCTGCCTTACTTGGCAGGAGCAAGTGAAATACGAGACGAAGACCCCCTGGGAGGAATTTAGTAAAATTTATATTCCACTCCTCCCACCCCCCCCCGCCCCCGTGACGCCAAAGGAAGTGACGTCACATCACATCAGCATCTAGGGCTGGTGACAGCTCTGACAGCGTAGTGCCTGCTCCCTCTCTGGGAATTAGCCTGCGGCAAGACCGGGGTGCTTCTGGTGAGGGTATTTGGAGCTTGGGCCTTCGGCCCGGGGAGTCACCACTGGCTTTAGGCACAGAATTTCTATTGTAACACCTTCCCAGAGGGCTCCCTACTCAGCCAGGCTGGAGAGTGGCTGGCCCACAGGATAAAATCAGCATTCTAGTTTGGGGGTCAAGGCCTGAGGAGAGGCCCCCTGAACACTGCCCCGGGGTCTCCTTCGGGGCCTTCTGCACCCGCCAGCCACCTGGACGCATCATCCCTCTTGCCTCACCAGGCCGTCTCCTCCCCTCCCCCACCTCTGCATTTGCTGTGTCCTCTGCTCGGAAGAGCCTTCTTTATCCCCGTGCTTCCTGGAGAAATTTTTTATCCTTCTCACAAATGCTACCTGATGTGTCACTTCCTCTTGGAAGCATCTTCCAAGATGCAGCTCTTCCCTTCCTGGTCCAAACCCCTTATGTGGCTTCCCGGTGCTGTTGCCCCCGGGCGAAGCTGCAAGGGGCTGGGCCTCACTCGTCTCAGGCTCCAGTGTCGCCCAGCCCAGGAGGACATGGGCTGTGGGGCACACAGGGGTGTTGCTTATAAGCAGCTTGGCCCTGGGATGCCTGAGAGATACCAGGGGTGAGGTCTGCTGAGCGTCTCTCCGGGGCCCCCTCTTTCCAGAGGTCCAGAATGCCATGGATGAGAGCCATATCCTGGAGAAGATGGCCGCCGAGGCGGGCAAGAAAGGGCCAGGGACGAAGCCCATCAAGGGCATCACTGAGTGAGATGGGAGGGGCTTGGGGGAGGTTCAGGCCGCGGGCTGGGTGACGCCATGGGAAGGGCCTGGGAAGGCGGGGGTCTGGGGGCAGGGGTAGGGTGCGGCAGCTCTTCCTGCCCCAGTGCTGGCTTGCTGTGTGAGGGGGGCAGACCGCTGCTCCTGCCTGGGCCTCAGTCTCCCCAGTCACCCCTGGGGACAATTCCTGTCCTGTTGTGAGTGTGGTCCCTGGGAGGAGGAAGCGGAGTTACAGAGTCAAAACTTTCTGCACACAACAGAAACTCAGAGAATGTGTGTGAACGCAAATGAAAAATCTTTAAACAGCAGCTCTGGGCAAAATCATCTCGTGGCAAGGTCAAGTCTGCTGGCGAGTGTCACGTGGCATTGACGGGAAGGGGCTGCTGGGTGGCGGCCAGGAGGGCTCTGGGGCACTCTCTGGACGGAGCAGCAAATGGCTGACGGCATGAGGGTGGGCCATTGGAGCGTTACTAACCCGCGAATGCCCAGGACAGCCCCTCCACCCCAACAAGGACTGACCCTCCCCCAATGTCTGTAGCCTGTTGAGAAACCCCCATCTGAGCAAAGTTTGGTCGGTGGGGAAATTGGGCCCCAGAAAGGAAGGGAACAGCCCGAGGCACACACTAAGTGGCTGTCCCAACCCACGCCGGCGGCTGCTCTTTGTGCAGGTATCGTCCAGCCTTGTGCTTGTGCTGGGTGACCGCCCCTGCGGCAGGCCCCCCCTGGGATGGGGCGGTGGCGTGGGCCAGCCTGGGTCAGTCCTCACTTCCGTGCCGTCTGCTGCCTTGCAGTGTGAAGGTGAAGGATGTGCTGGTGCCAGTGATCACGTTGAGCTTGGTGCCCGAGGAGGGCATCTTCCAGTGTGTGTCCACAGGCATGACCATCACTGGCAAGAGGTGAGCCCGGCGCGGGCGGCAGGGGCGAGGGAGGCCTGCTTGCCTCACATGCCTGGGCTGTTTGTAGAGCTCAGGGGTTTTCCACCTGGGCCCTGTGGCCTAAAACGATGCCAACACGGTTCCTGCCTTTCACGGGAACCAAAGCTGAGCACAGATGACCGCAGACTCAGCCACCCTTGGCACAGTGGGAGGGAGGAGTCAGGCGAGATGACCGCAGCTGGGCGGGACTGGGAGGAGGGGTAGGAGTTTACCAAAGGAAGCGGGGAGAGGGAAGACTGGCCATGTGAGCTTCAGCTCCCATCCCCTTTCTGTCCTGGGGGTGGCCCCCCACCCTTCCCCACTCTCAGAGCTACTGGGGTTGCAGACAGAGCGGAGTCGGGACAGTGGCCACAGCGGCAGAGATGCTCATGAGGCCTGGCTGCCTCTCTCCCAGCTTCATAGGGGGAAACATGGAGATCATCGTGGTCTTCAACATCACAGCGACTGACCGGCTTCTGAAGGACGAGGAGACGGGGCTCCCCATGTTCAAGAGCGAGGGTTGTGAGGTCATTCTGGTCAACGTGAAGACCAACCTGCCTAGCAAGTGAGGGCTCTCTGGCTGGGGAGGAAGTCTGGGCCCACATTGCCTGCCGGCTCTGCACCCCACCCCCCAATGCTAAGGGGCATTATGCTTCCTTAGCCATGTCCCTGCCTAACTTCCTGCCGCTGATGCTCCTGTCCCATCTTCTGTGCGCAGCATGGCGCCTAAGGTGGTCAACAAGTTTGTGGACAGCACCCTACACAAAGTTCTCCCTGGCCTGGTGAGTGCCTGGGCGAGCCTCTAGCCCTTGACCTTAGGGGTGCTCAGGCCGGGTTGACCAGTGCATTTATGCCACATGCTGACCCTGGTAGTCCGGGCTGAGGAGGATTCTGAGGTTGTGGCTGCGATCAGCTCGTGGTGTCTGCAATCAGCTCATGATGTCTGCTCTGGGTAGGGGAGGAGGATGTGGCTGCCCGAGTGGCACAACTTGTCAACCCAGCCTTGATGACCAGACCTGGAGAAAGTGTCCACATGGACTTTGTAGGTGGTGGTCAGGACATCTGGATTCTAGTCCAGCCTCTGTACTGATTTTCTCTGTGCCATGTGGCCTCGGTTTCCCCTTGTCCCTTCCTGCCAGGTGCTCCCCATGGAGTGCTGCTCAGCTCTGAGAAGTAGGCCCTCTTCCATGCTGGGGTCCCCTCAGCCCAGTGCCTTCTCTGCTTCCAGCTGTGTCCAGCCATTGATGCGGTCCTGGCTTACGTGAACAAGAAGTGGGCCAACCTGAACGGTGAGTGAGGCCCTTGCTGCACGTCGCTCTGTCTCAGGGACGTCAGGATGGCCGGACTCGGGTGCCTGTCCAGCTAGAAATGTCTGCTCTGGCCTGGCCTCGGGACTAGAGGAGGTCTGGCATCCTGTGTCTGAACACCCCGCCATTACCCTGAGGTCTTGAGGGACTCTGGGATTGTCAGTCTGGGCTGCTCCCCCAGGGTGCACCTCTTTGAGGGAAACTCCCCTTTGCAGTTCCCATGCCTGTGGGTCAGATGGGCACCGTCAAATACTCTCTGACATCCATCCCAACGCCCACGGCCAGCTACATCCAAGTGGACTTCAGTGTAAGTACCAGAGGGCACAGGGGTTGGGCATTCAGCAAAGCAGCCTGGGCGTGTGGGCTGCTCCCGCCAGCGCAGCCGGCCGGACTGTGGAGGTGTGGGGCTGAGAGGATGGGGGACCGCCAGGCCTGGCTCACAGGCCGCCATGATGGAGTTCCCTGGCCCTGGGGCCTCTGCTCTCTTCCCGCTCTCAGCATGACCCCCGGACGGCCGAGTCCACACTCATACCCCACCCAAGGCTCTCTGCTTCTGTCGTGTGGCTCACCCATGTACCCCGCCATGGCACAGTGGGGGACAGTGAGGCCCAGTGGGGAGGCAGGGCTTGGCCAGGGTCCCACTGTGAGCCGGTAGCAGATTTGGGTCCTTTCCCAGGCCCCCAGGTGACTAGGTGGGCTTCACCCTCCACTAGTGGGAAGGAAAATCCCAAGAAGTCATCTCCTTATGAAGTCTCCTCCCAGGGGCTCTTACAGGCCCCAAGTCCTGTTTACTCCCGTGAGTAAAAAAGAAGCCACGTCCTGCAGACACCAGGGTCAGGTTAACGGAGGCCACACATGCAATCTTGGGAAGCCCAGCCAGTGGCTGTGACAGCCCATCCTCGGGCCTCCGTCTGGGAGGACTGGGCAGCTGCGGCTGCCGCTGGACCTAACAACTTGCTGACTTGGGCTGGCTTGGGCACCAAGGACTGAGACTCCCCCGGGGAACCGTGCTTCACGGCCAAGGCTGTCTCTTGGTTGTCCCTCAGCCTGAGGTACAGCAGAAGAAGGGTGGTGCCGTTAAGCTTGCGGATTCAGGGGCGGCCCTGGAGTTCCCTGGAGGGTACGCTGAAGGCTCCTCGCAGCTGCTGCTCTCCGCTGCCTTCCTCACAGCAGAGCTGGCTCTCCTGCAGGCGTCTTTGGATGTGAATATTAAGAAAACGAAGGTGAGCGTGCCCTTCCGCCTGCTCTGCCTCCTGCAGTGACAGTCCCTGCCCAGCGTGCCTGTCTGAGGGTTGTCCTGGGATGGTGGAAACATGAGGACCGACATGCCAGCACTGATACGGGTTCTGATGATCAGCTCACCTGCCCCAACCACTCGCTCGCTCCTGTAACCACCTTCCATCTCTCTCTCTCTCTCTCCTTCTTTCCTTCCTCTCTCCCTCCTCCCTTCCTTCCTTCTATCCTTCAACCATCCTCCACCCACTCATCTATTTATACATTTTTCTCTTCTTTTTATCCATCCATGGATTGAGCCTCACAAACCCCTTTCATCCATTGCATCCATCCATTTTTCCATCTCTCTGTCTGCTTTTTCATCCAGCAACACTTTCTCAGTATTTTATCTTGTGCTAAGTGCTATGGGCATTGGAATACCACAGTCTGGGGGACCAGGGAGCTTATGATCCACTTAATCACAGAGCATTGAGTGTTTTAATGAAGGGCCACCTTGTTGAGTCAGACAAAATGTTTTTTAGGATGGGCCAGGGAAGACCCTTAAGTAATCCTAACCTTGGCTTTCATTTTGCAGACTGGGAAGTTGTGCTCACTGACCACCGAAACACTGGCCAACTTTATCCCTGAAGTGAGTGGCCCAGTGACTCAGACTCACCACGCTCTGTCCTGCCCTGCTCCGCAGTTGAGGCATTAGGGGCCTTAGGGGCAACCTTGCAATGGCTCATCTTCCTTTCCAGTGGAGAATCTTCCTTATGCCCCCAAAAGCACTCTTGCCTTGGGATAGAAACAGCTAGCTTGTCTGCTTTGTTCCTTTATTTCTTGCTAGATGTGTTCCAGCCTTTGCATGCTGTGCTTCCTGTGGCCAAGGTAGAAATCACCTAATTCCCGACAGATTCTTGGTTTCCATGGAAGTCGCCAGTTAGAGGGCTTCCCCTGAGGGGAGTTTTCTGGTTTCCGCAGGTGGCTGAGACCTATCCCAAGCCAAAGCCCTTGGTGGTGAAGATCAAGATAAACAAGCCCCCCAAGGTCACCATGAAGAAAGGCCAGAGTCTCATGCACTTCCACGGCACCCTGGGGATGTTTGCTGCCAAGCGGCGGGGCAAGGCTCCTGTGTCCATTTTTCTTCTGGAATTTGTACGTGGAATATTTTCTCCATATTGTGGGTAGTCAAGGCTGGAAGGTGGGACTGTAATTGACAGATACGTGTGAATAGAAGGGTTCTTAGTTAAACACAATCATGTGGTTTGAACATCCCAGACCCTGTCACCTGATGTCGGAAACTTGGTTCAGCTGCTGACACCTTGCAAGGCCAGAAAGATCAAGAAATGGAGGCTCAGTAGTTTAGTCCTTCTTTCTTTCTCTTCCTTCCTTTCTCTCCACCCCTCCCTTCTTCACTGCCCACACCCAATGTTCGTTAGTATTTGTAAGGGCAGTGAAGGGGCCAGCCAGGGGACATTGGGAGCCTAGAGAGACCCTGATTCCAGTTTGAGGAAACCACAGAGGACTTTCCAGTGGAGGTGATTACATGCCCGAGCAGGTTCAGAGGTTGAGCAGGTCAGAGAAGAGGTTGATGTTGGGAAGGCTGGTGATAGAGAGCACTTCAGGAAAAGGTCACTTACAGGTTGTGCAAACTTCTGGAACAATAAGGTGGTGTAGGGATCGACACACATGCCAGGTATTTGGGGATGCAATTCAGACCAGGTATGGGGGTGGGATGGGGGTGGGGGGATGGAGCCTGGGCCGGGGCTGTGGGAAGACTGATGGTTTTCGTTTCTAAGATGAGAAGGGCAGAGAAGAGGAGCTCTACTTTGTTTGCAAGTGGTGCTGGGAAGGCGGTAAAGCCACTGACTTTTCCAGCTCTAACGGGGAACCCATGATTTCTCCTTGCTTCTCCACACATCAGCACTTCAACCTGAAAATCCAATTCTCAGTGAGTAAGAACCGGCTGCAGATGGCAACCTCTATGAACAGGTAGGAACCTGCTGCCAAGTTGGCATCCCAGTACCACTGCACAGACATTTCCAACTCCGCTGGGGCTTTCTGCTCCAGGGTCTCCCTCTGACCCATCCAATGTGGACTGCATTGCCAGGCTGCTCCGGTCACTGCCTGCTCTAGACACTTGAATGGCTCTCCATGGTCTACACGATCTTTTCTCAGGTGGTGCCTGGCACTCAGGCCCTTCTCAGATTCTCCTGTTGCTGCCCCCACATTTCCCTTAGGTTTGTGCAGAACTAATGGACCACACCCCCTTTTCCAGTAATATGTTTTTGCCTATGCTATCCAAATGCTACCTCCCAGTCAGTGTTCACTTCAATGCCACCTCCTCCAGGAGGCCTTCCTTTATCTTCATAGCAGCTAGCAATTTCTAGAGCTCTGTCTATATGTGAGGTGCTAGATATATACATTATACTTATTACCCCATGCCAACATCCTAGTTTTGCATTAATTTTGTGTTTGCCCTCATCTTTGATCTGACTTGTATTTAGGTCAGTATTATTTCTGTTGCAAGACACAATTCCAATCCATAACAATCCATAAGTGATTTATGCTCACAGGGAATTTTTTGTCTCATATAATTGAAAACTTGAAAAGTACCTTCAGGCATGGCTCAGTCTAGGTGAGCAGAATTCTTAAGAATTTGCCTGCTTCCTTCCTGTGTACCTACTTTGCTGACTAAATTTTCGGATGCCTTCTTCCAGAGATGGACTCCAATAAGAGAAGCCCTTGTCTAATAGTTCTGCTTCCTATTGATCTAGCCTGGGCCCCGTGACCACCAAGCTAATCAGTGACTTGGAGAGTTGGAATGCTCTGATTGGTCAGGCCATGGTCATGTGCTCACCCTGGGGGCGCTGGGGTCAGTCCCACCTCAATGACTTGGAATGAGAATGTGAAATGTGGGGGTGGGGGAGGGTCTGTATGGGAATAGAAAGTACATGTCGGAAAGACAGATGATCACATGGCCAGCCCCAGCGCCAGAATGCATTAGTGCCTGCTGGAGACTGTGCAGGGGAGGCGAGGCGTGGGGCTTCAGTTCTGTTTCTTGCAAGGACCTGAGGCTGTTGAGTTGGACTACAAATCTCTGCCTCCGTGGCTTTGTGCAGAAGTCAGAGAGATGGTTGAGGGCCCCAAATGGAAGAATCTGGAGCCATGAATGGACATACAGGAAAGTCCAATATTTGAAATGTGAACAGAATGGGCTGTAACAAAATGTGGCGAGCACCTCATCGCAGGTAACTTGGAAGCAGACTGAGCACCTAGTCTGAAGGCCGTAGAGGTTAGGAGAGGAGAGGTTAGGAGTGGATGGGATCACTTTTCTCTAGGGCCAGAGGCTCTGACCTCCCCTCCTGCTTCCTCCCCTGCACAGCCTGCTGACCCTGTCCCGGGGGTCCTCATCCGTTGGAGCCTTCCATGTAAGTGTCCCAAATGCTTCTGCCTGGTCTGGCTTGAGGGTAAGGCTCGGCCTATTCTCTCTTGGACTGCAGAGAAGGTCCTGACATTGAGGCAGATGAATAAGGAAGGCCATTGTGGACACCTGATTTGCCAGGTGGTCTTGGGAAAGTCCTTTTAGCCTGCGAGTCCCTGTTTTATTTCCTGGATACAGGCTGCCTAGCTCTCTGGATTGCTTGTGAAAGCATCGTCATACATAGAGGCAGCCTGAGTCAGCTTGGTCGACCCAGTTGCTATTTTTATTAGTTTTTGTAGTCTCAGGACCTAAAACCCTAAAACCTGACCCAGTAGGTGCTAAATACGTAAATAGAAAGAGCAGCAGCCATAACAATGGTGTTCACTGAATACTTACGTTACAAACGTGACCGAAGCTCATCGAATCTTCATGAGCTTCAGAGTCAGTACTGTTATATTTTCCTTCCACAACTGGGGAGTGGGGGCACAGAGAGGTAGTGAATAGATGATCAAGGCCGAGTTTTCCGTGGGGGCAGCAGCAGCGAGCACGGCACCGCGTGTCTCCTGAAAGCCTCCTCGTGGGCACCATACCTGTGTCCGCACCATGCCCCAAGCCCGCAAGCCACCAGCAGGGCGGAGGGCACCGGCCTCTCTTCAGAGTCAGGTTCAATATTTATGCTAGTGACAGATTCTTTGACGGCCCTGGACTCAGCTGGCGTGAGGGCTGACAAAGTTCTCTTGCATTGTCTGGAATGATGCGATGTGGGTATTTCCTCTCTCGCTCTCCCTCCTCCAGGAGGAGGACTTGACCAACTTCGTCACTGATTTCCTCCGGGAAGCCTATGTGCCAGTTGTCAATGGTGAGGGCACCAACAGGCTTTGAATTTGCTGGTGCCAGGAGGCACCGTGCCTGGGTGATCTCCAAGTTCCTCACTGACCCCAGGAGGGGGAGGCTAAAGAAAGGGCATGGTCACTGCTGAACCTTTGAGGAGACGCAGCCTCCGGTCAGTCTCTCCGCCCCGTTCGGGCTGACCTTTGCCCCTCACATCGAGACCCAGACCTGGGCTGCAAATGCCTGGCGCTGCGGCTTAGCTGGCAGACAGCGTGACTGACCCCTGCGCCATTTCCCCACCCTGTTCCAGGGAGCTGCTCCGGCCTGCAGAGCAGCAAAGCTGAAATGGTTTTTACTTACCTCTCAGATGTGCTCCAAGTCGGGCTCCCCCTCCCGGACTTCCTGGACATGAATTACAACCTAGCAGAGCTGGATGTAATAGAGGTGAGGAAAGAAAGAGGGGGCGCACATGAGCCAGAACTTCCAGCGCCTGCCTCTCTCCAACTGGAGGGAACACGGCTGAGGGCAGCGGCCATCAGTTTAATGTTCCTCCCCTGGGGGAAGCTTGAACTCAGCCTCTCTCTTTCTTTGGCAGGTGGCTTCAGCATTCTCTATGCCTCTACTTTTCTGCCTTTTAAAATGGGGGCGACAGTGTGGGCATCCACCTCCTAGAGCTGTTGTGATGACTCACTGAGATGATTACTCTACAGAAAGTGCTCAATAAATATTAGTTTTGCACTGCACGCCAAGCGTTATGCGTGCAGTATGAAACATTTTCCCATTCATCTTCTCTCTTCTGGGAGGTGTATTTGTCCCCAAGTGATCACTGAGCAAATTGAGGTGAGGGAGGTAGAGCGCCCCAAGGTGAGTCTAGCTCACCCTTGGCTCTTCCACACCATGCTGCTGCCATTCCCTGGCCTGTGCCGGGTCCCAGTTCCTCCTTCTTCACCCCCACCTGGCCCTTTACCTCCTGCCAGGATGCCCTGGTGCTGGACTTGAAGCTATACTGACCAGGGCGGGACTCACCTGCCAGCTGCCCGCACACCACCAACTGGCCGCACCCCGTGGAGGACCTCCCGATGTGAGTCGGTGGACCTGGCCCCTACCACCGATGGCTGCTTCCTTTGGCGGGAAGGAAGCAGGTCAGGTCTGGGCTGGGCCTTGGCAATAAACAGGAAAAAGGCCCTTACAGACGTCTGATGCGTTGACCTCTTATTTGTAGCAAATCAACTCGGGCTTTCTTCTTTGATGGGTTTCGAGGTCTAGGACCAGCTTGGGTTCTAAGGGAAGCGGGTGGCAGCCTCAGGGACAGCGCTGAGTCCCTCCACAAGCCTTACTGGAACCATCTCATCTCATCCATCTAATCAGCCGTGAGGGGAGGGTAGCCTTTGCCACTCACGTCACACATGAGGAAGCTTGAGCATAGGCCTCAAGCCTCAACTCCCTTGCCCAACGTCACACCGTTTAGCGAGGGGCAAAGCTCTTCCCATCCCACCTCAGCTGCGGTCTCTCAAATCCTGGCAACTTGAGACTCCTCCTTCATTCGTAAGGCGTGCATTCATGAGAATACTGTAGAACTTCGGGGTAGTCCCAGGGCCGCCCCCCCTCCGCCCCCAAGCTATAGGCCTCACAACAGCTGAGGGTGGTAAGAAGGGTCCCCGTTTCACAGATGGCGAGACCAAGGCTCTGAGAGGTAGAGCAGCTGGCCCTGTACCGACGGCCCGGGAGCAGCCTGGATTGCAAGTCAGGCTCCGGGGTCCAGCTGCCTGCGTTCAGACCCTAACTCTGTCTTCCCCGCTGTGTGCCCTGGGCAAGTCACTCACCTCTCTGTACCTTGGTTTCCTCACTTGTCAAGTGGGGAGCAGGATAGTACCAAGCTCAGGAGGGCTGTTGTGAGGATTCAGTGACTCAATCCAGGAAAGCACGCAGCACGCATTCAGTGCTCAGTGACCACAGCTTGGGTTGTGGCTGGGTTCTGTCCCGTCTGCCCCATCTCCCCTCTGGGGGTGACACTAACACCATTCTTTAATGGACTCCTTTTAGAACCATCGTATGGTTACATATCATTAAATTAAAAATGCATGTTAAAGTAAGTGGACCTTGAAAATTGGCGTCATTTGCTGGACTGTATACAAAATAAATCCATAAGTTTGGGGGGCAACTGTGTATCTGGGGTCTCTAGGTGTTCCAGCCCTAGACATGACCAGGGAGGTGGCCAAATGTCCACGTGGTGTCTGCTAGACTGTTCCATGTTGGAGGGAGGGTCTGGGTGCATCTGTGACGGAGGGGTCCCTGCCTGGACACAGGTGTCTGTGAGTGGTGGGGTGGCCAGAAAGGCCTGGCCAGAAGGTCAGCGCTTCCAGAGCCTTGGCAGGTCGGCCCGTGTCCAGCCTGGCGCAGGCCCATGCCGCAGAAGAGGGAGGACCCTCTTACCCCTCCCCGCTACCGGAGGCCAGGGCCGTCCCCTGGTCCCTCTCTGTCAGCCTTAATCCCTTCACTCATCGTCCCCAGGCTCTGGGACAATGGCACCCTTGAGCCGCGCCTGGCAGATACGGACGCCTGAGTAATCCACGGGTGACTGATGTCTGACCCTAGGCATGCCAGCGACGCCCTCCCCACTCCCCTGGCCCGCCCTTGCCTGTGCGCACTGCACGCTCATGGCCGCAGCTCCCTCCCATTCTGGCTAGGTCCCCGCTGAAGCCAAGGCTCAAAGCGGTTAGAGTCAGGGGCCTGAGCTCTTACCTGGGCACTACCGGAGGCACGTGCTGCACTTTCTGGACAAACCACATTTGCTCTCTGGACCTTGATTTTCCCACCTGAGAAATGGGTGAGGGGTTAGATACTCTGATCTTGAATTTACTTTCGACATTCTGTGCATTGACCCTGGGAAGAAAATGGGGGTTAGGCTGCCCAAGGGTGCCCTGAGCTGTGACTGACCCCCTAGGGAAGCAACGATGGGGGTTCTGGGCCCATGGGCATGGTGCACAGCCCAAGACTCCCAACCCCCAGTAAGGAAGTAGAGGCTCAGAGGAGAAGTGACTGGCCCAAGGAATCATGTGCGTGTGCAGCTGGGATTCGAACTCGTCTGCCGAGTCCAGGTCGCCTCCTTGCTTCCTCACACTGCACTCAGCAGCAGCACGTGCCATCTTGCAAGACACGGAGGCCCAGATAGGGCACGAGACTGTCCCACGGTCACAGAGCTAGAGGGGAGCAGAGGCAGGGCTTTGACCCTGGGCCCACAGCAGCCGAGCTCCTGGGACACCCAGGCAGCACCCCCCTGCAAAGATGAAGCCCACACCCTCTCTCTCAGCCCAGCCATTCTCAACTCAGGTACCTCCGGGGAAGCCTCCCAGGAATCTTGCCACCACCTGAACTTCCCTGATGCTCTTGGCCCTTCCTTGATGCCCTGAAGTCCAGTTCCAAACACCTGTCTTCACAGCCACATTTCCAGAAGCCGCAGGCACCTGTGCTGAGAACCCTTCTAGCAGATGGGAAAATTGTGGTTCTTGAAGGCCTGTCCCTCCATAACACCAGGCAGGAATTGAACCCAAGAGTTCTGGCTCCAGAGCTTTCACTCTAGGAGACAACGCCCAGGGGTATTTTGCCTCATCAAGGCCCTCCTCTGCTCTAATCCCTCCCTTGACTCCCCATGATGGTCTCTGAGCTCTCAAGAGGAAAGCACTTAGGTGGCCTCGTTACACACACCAGTTCCCAGGCTCTCTCGGGGCTTGCCGAGTCAAGATTGCAAAGGTGGGCCTTGAGATGTGTGTGTGTCAATCCATCCCTTTCTCTGGGAGGTCCAGTCCTTGACTCAATGTTGGTGCAAGAAGGGCCTTGCAGGTGCCTAGAAGCTGCTATGGGTTAAAATTGTCTTGGGGTGGGGTTTGGAAGGAATCAGGGAAAATAAGGCAGGCCAGAAACTAGACAGCATCTCCTCCTTCTAAGAGGCCAGGCCTGGAGAGGCCAAGATGGCTAGAGTCAGACGGAGCTTGGACTGGACTCCTGGGCGAGGGTCAGATGGAGCTTGGACTGGACTCCTGGGCGAGGGTCAGATGGAGCTAGCTGGACTCCTGGGCCAGTGGCTTCCCCTCGCCGTGTCCCAGGCCTGCTCAGTGTGGGATGAGGGACAGTGGTCCTGCTGACTCTGGGGTGCTGTCGGGACTGGGTGGGCTCACACTCGTCACTGCCCTGCACACAGCACATGCTCCGTCATGCGGGGCACTCACTGCCCTCCCCAGCCCCCAAACCAAAGCCCTGGAAACACCACAACACCCAGTGCTGCCAAGGACGGGGCAGCGGCCCCCTCCTGGGTGGCTGGTGGGAGGGCCCAACAGCAGAGCCACTGGGGAGAACTGTCCAGCACCCTGGAAAGTGAGACAGGTGCTCTCACTATGGCGCACACCTCACTCCTCACCTGAGAGAAACGGGAGGTTGAACCTGTGTCCACAAAAGACCTGGTGGACCACTCAGGGCACCTTTGTGCATATGAGCCAATAACCTGTAGGCCTGGTGCCTTGAAGACGGGAGCGTGGATAAGCCAACCACGGCGTGGCCACCTCACGGAGCACGTGACCCTGCTCTCACGTGTCAGTGACTCACAGGCGAGTGTGAAGAGCAGTGTGTGCCATCCCGTTTCCATGGCAGCAAGCTGGACTGGCCCCCCATGCTGGCGGGCAGGACGCTGGTCACCTGGAGGCCAGTGACGGAGAGACAGGAAGGAGGTAGTTGCTGGAGTACTCCCTTGTGAAAGTTCACCCGGCCTACGTGTGGTCTAAGCGCTCGTCTGTATGTGCTTTATATTTCAATTAAAAGCTTATTTTGTAAAGATGGCGGTGTGGTTGAGTGCTGCATGTAAGTCACCAGGATGAACGCTCAGAGGCCAGGAGGTGAGTGGGGAGAACCCCACCCTCCTCTGCATCTCACCGGGCGGGCTCAGGCCCTTTCTAGAAGACAGACCATACGCCAGGGGTATGGTTCTAGGCCAGCATGTCTCAGACTCGGGGAGAGGGTGTGCAGGGCTGCAGGAGCCCAGGGCGGTGTCCTAGCCGGTGTGGGGGTCAGCAGGCTTCCTGGAGGAGGGGCTATCTGAGCCAGTGCCCGCAGAAGAGTTGTAAAGTGGAGCCAGCGTCTGTACCCAGCATCAGTCAGTCACATGCTCTGACCCCAGGTCCCTGCTCTCTGCAACCAGACAGGCCTCCTGGTATCCCTGGAACCTATCACCCCAGGGCCTTTGCACGAGTCCACCCTCTTCCAGTGGGCTGCTCCTCAGTTATCCTCTTCGTGTGCTCCCTCTCCTCTTGCAGGTCAGATATCACCCCTGCACCAGGATGAGGCCTTTCCGACCACCATATTGAAAGTGTACCCCTTTCTATACTCCTGAGGCCCTCGCTTTGTCATCAGCCTTTGACTTGCTTTATCATGTGCTCACCTGCTCTGTCCAGGGCCAAGTTGTCCCATATGATGGCCTGTGGCCATGCGGGGCGAGTGAGTGCTTGAAATGTGGCGAGTCTAAGCTTAGTGGGAAGCCAGTGGGTGTCATTGATTGGTATGAAAGAAGATGTAGAGCATATCATTAATACTTAGGTTTGCTTATAGGTTCATGTTAAATTTTTAGACAGATCTGGCTAAGTAAACAATACTGTTAAAGTGAATTTAACTCATTTTTTTTCACTTTAAAAAAATGTGCCTATGAAATTTTTTAAAAAAGATTGATTTATTTATGTATACAAAACTGGGGTACAGGCCAGAGGTGCAGGGGCAGTGAGAGGATTCACCAGAGACAGAGTGGG